ACATGTTCTCCTAAAGTTTTCAAATACATCGGCTAACAAAAGAACGTCAGTCTCTAGGTAGAGATCGTGGTAGTCTCTCATGGTTTTCATCCTAAAGTGATCCCATACTTTCCTAGCTCTTTGGTAATCTTCTTCCTTCACCTCTGACTCATACAGTGATGAGTAAAACTTATCTCTACTAGGAAGACCCTCTGTATTGAGTTTACTAATGTCATCCAGAAATTCATATGGAAAGACTCCTTTTTGTGTTACTAAATTGAAGTCCTCACCCTTCCACCTCTTACCTACTATTTTAAAGTCCTCAGGTGAAAGGTTACTCACCAGTGCTTCCAGTGAAGAAGCCATGAACTGTATAGAGTCTATGAAGACAAGATTCTTACCCAGTGAAAAGGAGATGTATTTTTCCATATTATTTGTGATCACGTTAATGTTCATCTTGAACTTACCAATTTCCTGCATAATTAGATGACTATCATAACCTCTCAGATTGTGGAAGACCACAGGTACTTTCCATGTAATTCTGTATTTCAGGTTGCATATATTATGAGCAGCTCCACGGTACATTCCTGTTACATGATCGTGGTCCCTTACTCTGTCCTCGCCAAGATCGTTACCACATATTGAACAGTTTCTTGCCATCCAGAACTCAGCTTCTTGTTTAGGTGTAATTACCATCTTTTTCTTGAATATATTGTTAACCATCTCTCTACATCTTAAAGACTCTTTCAATACAGTCTTCAAGAAGACCAGTGCAGCATCCTCTCCAACGTAACTCTTATACTCACCAGAGTACTTATCATCATAATGGCAGACGGTCTTTAGACCAAAACTACAAGCCTTGTGTGTCTGGTAAAGGTCTGTACTACTTTTGTCCTCAGGGTTTTCTGACTCCTCTTTTCTCTCCTCTGGTACTAGTATGGACTCAAAATCAGCGTATATTACAAACGGTACAGGCATCGAGTTCCTGTGATTTTTGAACTTTATTTTTGTACCTTCCTTGGGAAGCTTTACAGCCTGAGTTCCATTTACCTTGATACACGTCTCCTTATGTTTTTCCAGTGACTCTTTACTCACACAACTATGAAGACAGTGTAAACAAAAGTGTTTCTTGTGTGTGTATCCACTTACACTGAAAAGCATTCTGTTTACGTCCTTTATGAGAACATAGTGGTTATTACCATTACCATCACCTAGCAGTAGAAGCTCCATATGCTCATCATGTTTAGCCTTTGAGTTCCTTATGGGGTAGAACTGTTTCTTACCACTGTAACCAAACACAGATATGTTGATACTATTTTTCCTCTCAATTTTATCAATATCACTTATCTTCACAGGGAAGTCTATACCGCTATAGTCCAGGTTGTCTACGAACTCCCTATCTTTTCGTGTGATAGTGGTTGCTCTTCTAGCCTTAGGATTCAGATGTCTCACATGACTCCACAGAAAACACATATTGTCGTTGTTCTTCATATTGATTAGCCCACACTTTGGATTACTAATGTCCCCAGGTAGTTTCATATATGAACTACCCTTCAGAGGTTTGTACATTGCAATGTTCACGTAATGGCTTTCAATATTAAGTATAATCCAATTTGAACCTAAGTTTTGAAAGGTTTCAATTCTAGATAATATTGTTAGTTGGTTTTGAGCAGCTGTACTTTCAATATCCTCGAAGTTAGTTGCAGTGCCAGTTTTAGACTTGAAGTAGATTGAGTCCTTCTTTGTTTTACCGTTACCTATCTCCTTCGACATTCTCACCTTTATTGTCTCCGTGTACTTCAACCCTCCCATTCTCTTCAATTCATTCACAAGTATTCCTCTCACTACCTGTCTACTTGCAGTTAACTGATTCAGGGGGTCCATATAATGAGGAGTTATTGAGTAAGTTACAGCAGCTCCATTTGCGGCTGTTTCAATTTTTCTGTGGAATGGCTTTTCAAGATAAGTTCCGAATGGATCAATTTTGTGTTCCTCTGGTGTTACCACTGCAGGTTGTTCCTTAACTTCCTTTGACACTCTTACAGGCTTACGTAACTTAGGGGGAGACACTACTTTGATGGTTCTAGGTTTCGGTACAGGTCTTTCCTTGGGAAGCTTAGTTCTAGGTTTCGGTACAGGTCTTTCCCTAGGAGGAAGTCTAGTTCTGGGTTTAGGTGTCGGTCTCCATGGAGCTACACCCTTAGGCACTTCGGGAGCTTTCCTTGTGGGTTTCTTATTAAGATCCAAACTGATCGTAAACTTACCTGGATCTGTTGGAGTTATAATACTGTTTGCAGGCACTGAGAGTTTTATCCTATTTTGACTCAGGAATCTTTCCGCAACAGTTTGCCTCCTAACCTTAGGCTTTTGATGTATAACATCAACCTTAGGCTTTGGTGGTCTACCTTTTTTTTTGGGAACCTTAACTTCACCATCAACCTTAGGCTTTGGTGGTCTACCTCTCCTTTTAGGAACCTTAACTTCACCATCAACCTTAGGCTTTGGTGGTCTACCTCTGGGACGCTTAGGGTTCCTCTCGTTCTCAATCCTCTTGATTTCCTCATTTACCTGAGGATCATCCGTGCGCCATCTACCTTTCATCGTTGGTGGTAATCCTTGAACACCCTTGGACAGTAAACTTTGGTATGCCTCCTCTACAAGTAAGGCCTTTGCCTTTTGCCTGTCAGAGTATTTCCATGTGGGCATAATTCCTCTTCTTCCCTTATAGTTCAGGAGAAGGCGTCTGGGTTTCTTTACCTCCATATCACGGTCAACTTCATCTACGAATTGTCTTTCTCCTTCAAAGGGATCTTTACCCTTATCATCAGGTGCAATCCTGTAGTTTTTATCAGCCAAGATGTCCTCTACTCTTTCATCGATCTCGTTGTCACTATCTATGATACTGTTGAGAGCCATAAGCTGTTCTACGCTGAATTCGTCTAAGTTCAAGTAACTCGCCATATTTTTCTGTCAGTTCCTCTATACTATATATGTAAAAATAAATTCGGGTATTTAATTAATAATTTATTTCGAATTTATTTTTAATTCTATTAATTTATTATATCGGTATATCTTTAAGTGTTTTTATTTTTATTCAATTAATATTTCTTTAAGTGATTTTTATTTTTGTTTAATTATATTTCTTTAAGTGTTTTTATTTTTTATTTATTATATTAATATTTCTTTAAGTGTTTTTACTTTTCCAGTTATTATAATATTTACAATTCTCAGGTTTCCATCCAAGCTCAACAAAAACTTTCCCATACAACCTATCCTCAAGGATGTCCACAATTTTTTGGGTCTTTATGTCCTCAGGAGGGTTCTTCAGGGAAATACCATTCATGCTGGCTATCCTCAGTAGGTAAAACTTATATCTAACTATGTTGCGCCCCCTTTGCAGTCTAAGTCTTTGTATACATCTTACAATGCTTCTAAACTGCTCCCTTATAATGTCCCTATCCCTAGAAGCAACATGTTCGAATAAGTGTCTCTCAAACCAACGGACTCTATTATGACAAGACTTCTTTTTCAGGTAGTCTTCCTTGTTGTAGTTGTAACTAACGTAGTATGAGAAGTTTTTCATATCACTAGCACCACATTGTGTGCATGTATCTGCTCCATCTATCATTACAATAGACTTACTCCCACATTCACTGCATATTGGATCATATGTGTGTTTTCTCTTTATTCTGCTCTCTGCGTGCTTTCTCACAGCAGCCTCTAACTCTTCCAGTGTATTTACCTTCCTACCTACACGTTCTATTTCATCAGGTGTTACCATCTCCAACCATTCCATTTCCCTATACTATATATATGAAAATTTTTGTGGCATTTTCTATAGCATTAAATAAGCTGCCCCTCCAACCGCCCCACCTGTAATTAAACCAAAGATTGCCATATATTCTTCCATCTCAGTGCTAGGTTTGTAGTGATTACTTAATTGCGGCTTCCTTGGCATAGCCTTACGTGTTAACTCATTGATTCTTCTAACGAGTTCCAGTGACTGGTTTGTTGACTTAATATCCCTATTTGCCTCAGCTAGTTCTTCCCTTAGTTGGGCAATTCTATTTCTCCTATCGGTGACCTCTTCAAGGTACTTCTCTCTTTCAGCTGTTAGGTTCTCCATTGCAAGGTTATGTCTATGAGCTTCCTCAGCATATCCATTCTTGTCAAACATCTTAAATAAGTATCCTGCTCCCGCAAATGCAAATGCGTTAAAGAGTCCTCCTGCTACTGCTCCCACCATTGTATAGTTTTACCTAGGTTTTGAATGGATCATCTGGTAGATACTTCTTTTCTTTCAAGTAAGAGACCAGTAGAGATGAAAGACTAACCGAAACAGCTAACTTCGCCATTCCTTTTACATTCTCTGGGGTACCTAATGGTTCTTTCAATAGTTTCTTTGATGCCATTGATATACCAACTGCTCCTGCTGTAAGTAACACTGCGTTGTACACTTCCGTGGTCATCTTTGATTCTTTACTCATCTTGCTATAATATATGGTATGTTTAATGTATCATTCAAGTGAATCTAACTTGGACTCATCAGCTTTCCCAGTTACTTCTACAGTTTTAGGGACGAACTCAGGTTCTAGTTCCTTGGTTTCCCTCTGATGTGTTTTATATGCTAGCACAAGAGATATCAATGCAATGGCCACTCCTATGTAGGTAATCATACTGTCATTGCTTGATGACTCGCTAGGTTCAGCTAGTTTCTTTTTCCTCTCCTTTGCTATTCTACTGATTGCAGCTAGTCGTTTCCCTGCAGCTACTCTTTTTGGGTCCTTCTTCTTTTCGCTTGTTACTGTTACTTGAATTTGCTCAGGTTTATCTTCCATTCTACTTGTAAGATACCTTAGGTTTAACTGGGTTTCGTCTTATGAGATATCTTTAATTCTACTTACAAGATAACTTAAATTTACTTGCAAGATAACTCAATTCTACTTGCAAGATAACTTAAATCTACTGGTGAGATAACTCGAATTTACTTGCGAGGTGTCTCAAATCTACTTGGCACTAAACTAGTACTTGTGTGATTTAAACCTTGGCTTGTACAGCTTTACATCGCAAACTGTATTTTTCGCTGCAACTTTCCTTACCCTTTTCTTAAGTGAAAAGTACTCGTTAATTCTAATACAAGCTTTCACTAGATCATCCGATATCATTGTTGCGTATCCTATTTTCATCAGTCTTTCAAGCCATAATGCTTGCTTCTCACTTGTAATTCCGGTGCCCTTAGGAGACTTAAATTCAATTGCGAATCCTCTGTACTTTCCCATAGGATTCTCTATAATAAGATCAGGCTGGCCACCTTTATATCCCTTCTTCCAAGCATCACATCTCTTTGACACTGTATCCTGGTACTCACCTAGGCCAGGTATTATTACAGCCTCTGGGTGATTATTCCTAATGTAACTCACAACTGTATTATGAAGGTCCGTTTCGTTTATGAGGATCATCTGGTTATATCTAAGTGACCTTCTATCTGGTAATTCATATGAGCCCGTTTTACGGATAGATGGTAGGACTTCCTTAAATACCCAATCCTGAAAGTCCTCCGCTATTGGAAGCCTTGAGGTACATATTAGTTGATACAAACCAGGTTCAAATAGCAGGATCATTTGTGGGTGACATTTTTTGAAGGGAGACAGATCGCCTCCCTTGCGTAGCTCGTATACGCTTACCTTATTTTGATTCCTAACAAGTTTCTGGACTGCCCTCTTCGTATCAGCGTACCCTAAGGACTCTGCCACGTCTTTTGCATAGAAGAGTACCTCACCGCCCCACCTCACGGTTCTTACACTAACATTCAACTCCTGGTTTCTGAATAGTTTTTCCATCTTTCCTTATACTATATATGCAAAAATTTTTATGGCTATTTTATTTTGATTTATGGAGTAGTATTCCCTCTACCCACCCAACTACTCCTCGTTAATGTTTGCTTCCTGATTTAAAAATATTACATTTCATATAGTTTCTTGTATATCTTTACAACTGTTTTAACCATATCATCTTTGAACGTCTGGTAGTCATGCTGAAGCGGCCCTATAACTTTGTCCTTGAGGGAGTACAGGTCCTTCTCTATAGAGTCCAGTGTTGCCTTGTTCTTCTTGAGTAAGCTTTCTGTTGAATCAAGTGCTGCCTGAATTTCGTCTAGCTGCTCCTTGTTCCCGTCGGTCTTCTCAATTAACTCGTTAATTATGTCTTCAAACTCTGTTCCGTCCCAGGCGTAGGGCTCTCCGAGTTGCGACATTCTTCTGTATTTAATAAGATATGTTTAGCTTCCTCAGATATTTCCTCCTTCTTATTCCACTTATAGGCAACTACATGTTTGGCTGTTGTACAGCCACCAGATATGAGGCCTATGAATGGGATGTTGGGGGATATCATTCTGGTTAGATATGATACGTCGTCCTTTAGAAGTTTGTCACTAAGTAGTTCCTCTGACAGTTTTTCTGAAGATTCCACTGCACCGAAACTTCCTAGTACCGCAGCAAACTTTGAAATAATAAGTGTTGATAAGAAGTCTCTTGCACATGACATCCTCTGACTTTCATACTCATGGTATAGTCTATCTACAACATCCTTGTTAGACTTTCTTATAAAACTTGCGGACTTCTCTATTATACCATCCCTCGATAGCTCTATAAGTTTGTCTCTTTTGCTTTCAGTTTGCGACTTATCTGCGGTAGACTTAGTTTTTCTTGCTTTTTTCTGCGGAACCTTTGCGGCCTCCTCTACTTCTCTTACAGCCTCAAATATTTCTTCATCAGATTCAGTTCCCATCTTCTATATTTTACGCGGTGTTTAGTTTAACAGTGTATGTGTAAGGGTGAATAAGTAGTATGTCCAGTGCGGTGAACTTCTCATCTTTTAATATTTTCGTAATCTCTGCAATTGTCTCCTGAGGAACACCACTTAGGTAATCATCTGTTATGACCTTCATATCCCTGCGACTAGGGTTGTAGAATGTAACTAGCCTGGAAATGTTCTCTCTGAATGGTTTTGCTACTGATGACAATTGTTGGGTAAGTACAATGACAGATAGGTTGTAATGTCTTGCAGAGAATGCTAGGCGCACCAGTTCTGAGACTCTTTTCTTTACATCTTGACTTGCCGCACAATCGTCCACTATGATGAGAGTCTGAGTACCGCGGAATATGGTGGACACTGCCTTGAGAATAAGATCGATCATTTCTTGTGAGCATGGAATTTGTATAACTCCGTGATCACTAATATGAGTCCAATTAATGTAAGTCATATTCCACTCTATGGTTGGACATATAATGACAATGTAATCGAAAACTCTATTGTACTCTGTTTCTAACATATTAAGTAGAAACTGAGTCTTTCCACTTCCAGTCATTCCTACTATGAGCATGTTGAACGGTTGCATCTCTATGCTTTACCGTTAGTATTGAATACTTGATAGATCTCTATTGGCAAAGTTAAGGAGAGCATCTGATACAATAAAAATGTTGCACTGAACGTCAGCTGTTGTGGCTCTCTTTTTGATTTCCAGGAGTACTCCCGATTGTGTGTTAACAATCTTCTTACCTCCACCAGTGGTATCATCTTGTGTTGACCTAAGATCGATTACTAGAGCGAAACCATTGGTGAAGAACTTGCTGATGGACATAAATTCGTCTGCCATGGATTTCTCACACATAGGGCAGAAGAATCTTTTTGCCTCTTCGAAGAACCTATTTTTATGAAGTCCTTGGGAGAAAACTGCATTAGGCACACCCTCAATGGTCAGGTTCACTTTATCAATGTTTGGGTAAATATACTCTTCACTATCAGTTCTCACTCTATTAGTAAAAAGAAGGACAATTGCTGACATGCTCTTCCTGGGGATATTAATATTCTCATTGACAATGGTAAGATCCTTGTCCCAATTACTTGTACGCATAAGAGTGACGTGTCTGTAGGACAGTGAGCGGCCTGTTGAATACATCCTTGATACTTCACTTGCAAGGGAGTCATTCTCAATGGTGTCGTACTCTAACTCAAGATTGTCCAGTTTATAATTACCCTTAGCTTCACTTCCTTGGGCAGTCACAATCTCATCTGATTGCGGGAGTGTGAGGATGTACATAGGATTGTTATTCATGGAGAACGGTGTGTAGAGTCCATGGTCTGCGATTATTTTATCAATTGGTTTTCTCAGCTTTGAACCGTACACACTGTGGAGAAGTGCATCTGCTACTTTACCGACATCACCAGCTTTTGCTCCTGAGTCATCACCTGATATTAACTTCCTAAGATTCTCACTTGCAAGACCCTGTTCTGTCATCTTATTTCTGTCACCTAGTGTTAGCCATAGATCTTTGTATATTTCGTACAAACTCTCTCCTGAACAGTCATAGGCTGTTTCACCTGCTACTTTAATCTGAAGACGTTTAGCTATCAACTTAGACAGGTTGTTATTAAAGTGGCTCTTTGTATTGGAATTTTTGAAGTCAAATAATAGTGCAAGCGATCCTGGGACTAAACAAGAGTCAGGCTTTAGTTTGGGGATGTTAATGTACAGCTCTTCACCTGGGCTAATGGTTGTTGGATTAAATGTTACAACACTTCTAGTTCTGGGACCTTTTACGGATGTCATGCGGCTCCTCCTGAAGCCAGGCTGGAGTTCTCTTTCTGTGGTATTCATACTTTTATACAATATGTAATGTTTAGTTGTATTTGTATAGTAAAACTACTGCTGCACATACAATGATTACCCATATATTATCCGCTGCTAACTCTACTCCATCGGCTATCTTCTGGAATACAGGTGGTAGTTCTACCTGGTTGTTTACCAGCTCACTGATCCGCTTATCAAGCTTTTCTGTTGTGTCACCTACTTTCCACAATATGTTTCTAGTTGATGCTACCAGTCCTATGATTACAGCTGATGAGGAAATTAGAACAGCTGATAAGATGCCTGCATTCTCCCTTGCCCATAACCTGAGCCTCTGTAGTCTCCTACGATCATCCCGTTTAATGAGATCCCTCTTTTTCACCTTATCTCTTAAGTTGAGAAGTTTATTTAAGTTTGACTCTCTTTGGTAATCATTTGATAGCATTCTGACGTATCTCAGTTCTTCCGACTTTTCTTTGAAACTGTCTTCGTCCAAATTGGATAGTATTATTTCATTTAACAGTCTGTCTCTCCTATCCATTAGATCATCGTATGACAGATTAGATAGGTCGGGGAATTTCTCAGCTAATTGCTCTCTCGTAAGGTCTTCACTTAACATTTTTCTCCTCCTCAGTTCCTGTACGTAATTAATTTCCTCGTTAATATCCTGGGTCTCCTCAGTAGTTTCGCTTTCCCTAAGATCCTTGTCAAGGTACGGTAATTTGCTATCTAAAGTTTCTATATCCATTTCTTCATAGTTTGGATACTTTTCATTCAACTCCTCCATTTTCTGGTCATCATATTCCTCTTGGTGTTCCTCCATAGCTAATTTACTTTGTGTAATAGTTGTATACCATTAAGGCTGCAGCTATAGCTAATACCCATAAGTGTGACGCTAACCAGGTAATTCCTTTGGCTCCCCACGACAGCGCCGTTGCAATGGTGTTCAGGATTGGAACTAGAATTGGTCCTGCTTTCTTTGCTAAATTTGCTAATGCTTTTGCTACTTTACCAGTGACCTTTGCTGTCTTCACAATGGCTCCCCCAGCATGGATTAGTAAGGCTGTAATTAAACTAGCTGTTGACACTGCTATCCCTACAAGTCCCACCTTTTCCTCCCCTAACCATTTCACAAATCTGCGTAATCTGGAAATATCTTCCAACTGTGCCTCTCTTGCTTCCTCTACTGTTCTTTGTTCCAGGGTTCGATCTCTAGCTTCCTTCAAACTGTCAATTCTTTCTATAAGGGAATTATACTCAGTTGTACCTTCCGCTGAGGTGGAGCGTTCCACAGTTTCACCAATAGCTTCATTAAAGTAGTCAGCCTGAACCTGCAATACTCCATTGGGACCTGTTCTACCTTCTATACTTGATCCATCAGGTGGGTTAAGAACACCTCTCAGTTCGTTGTTTTCTTGCATTGTTAGCCCTGGAAGGTCTCCTAATTGTGCACTTATGTCTATTAACTCTATGTTCTCACGGTCAGCGTATTCCTCACTACTTTCATCAAATTGAGGTATTTCTCTGGTTTCCTCATCACTTCCAATTATATTGTCAGGATTCGTAGGTACCTCTTTTATTTTCTTTATAAGGTTCTTATATTCTCTCAGAGCAGGTGAGTCCTTTGAGTACACTAGATTCTTGGTCTTACCACGTTTCATTATTTGTGTGCCACTTTTGTCAATACCTTGTTCACTTCTAAATACCAACACCTCTGTGCCATCCTTGAGTGTTCTTACAGATGATCGTTTGATGAGTTCTCTGACGTATTTATTCTTTGGGTCTAGTACTAGTCCCTCCTTACCCTTGATAACTCTCGCGACAGCTTGAACACGCTCCACCTGGTTTTCAAAATCTCTCTTTTTATTTGCTGTGAGCCGGTCTTCTGAGAACTTTTTCAGTTTCTCTAGGCGGGCTTCTATTTCATCCCAGTCAGCGTCAAATGATTCGTTGAATGCATCTAGCACATCTGGAAGTACATTGTTTGGGTCTCCTACAAATGCAACTCTTAGGGGGGTTTCGCTTCCTGAAATGTCCACTATACCATCATTACCCTCAGTAAAGGTTGTTTCCTGCTTTCTAAGTCCTTCAATTTCATCCAGGGATTCTCTAAGGTTAGAAACTATTTCACGGTGCTTCATAAGATTCTTTACATAGTCTAGTTCACTTTTAAGATTGGTTATTACTATAGGGTCATCACCATACATAGCCTCTCCCTTCACCCTTGTATCTAACCTACTAAAAGCTGTCATAAGGTCGTCGTAATTAAGGTCGTCATATTGAGGATACGTCTTCTCCTCCATTTCATATTCGTCATAGTCCTCCATAATACTTTAACTTATGTTAGGGACTTGATGTCTCCAGCTGGTATCCAACTGTTAAATTTGTCATCATAACCTAACCACTTAACTAGGGCCATCTTTTTACCCTTCAATGTTCTTCTTCTTAGTACTTTCTCTATTCTGAAATCAGGTTCTCTTCCTTCAGCGCTATACAGTTCTTGTTCATAGAATCTGCCAATTATTGGTTCATCAGCACTGTCTTTTATTGTATACGTGTTTGGATGGCCGTGATACACTTCCGTCACAGTGAACAACTCCTCTGTGAAATTTGCTTCGTACCCTTTTGTGAACACTGATTTGTACTTCGAGATCCTGACACTTTCTCCGACAGCAAACTTTGGTTCTGATGGCTTGCCTAAATTGTGACTAAAAAGTGTCTTCCATACTTCACTCCAATTGGACTCATTTACACTGTCCGGTGTTGTTTTAATTGATCTGTTTACTGAACTGTTGTAATTATCAGTTAAGTCTTGAAGAACGTCTAACCATTTATATGTACTGGCACTATAGAAGTACTTCCACATTAGAGCCTTCAGTGTTCTGTTAAATCTTTCCACAACTGCGGCCTTTTTGTCTGAGTAAGTAGAGAAAAATTCAATGTTATGTTTATTGAGCAATGATTTTACTTCTTTGTTGTAGAACTCTGTGCCTTGGTCAAACTGGGCGAATTTTGGGTATTTACCAAAACGATTATTAAATTGCTCTAAAATGTTACGGACTGCGTCCTTCATTGACGTCGCGTTTTTCCTATACACTGGTACCGTGAATGCGTACCTACTCAGTATTTCAATGGATGTGAGAATCCATCGGTATCCCTTGTTCTTGTCGTCATATTTTGTCATGTCAACTAAATCCATTTGTAACTGTTCACCTAAAGTTTGGACGTACGTCTGTCTGAACTTATGTTTCCTAAATACTTGTCTGTACCTAGTGTATGTGTCTTGCTCGTTTATCCATTTCTTGACCTGGTTTCTGGTTACTTTAAGTCCGTCCGATACTGCTCTAAGATATAGTTTCTCTGGTGTTTGGAATCCGGTCTTAGGATTGTAGTAAATATCTCGTAGTCCCTGTTCTTTCATAATATCATCGTCCATCTTATATTAACTAATGTAAGCTAACTACTCAAGGTACATCTCGATAAGCACTTCACCTATATCAATAGGTTTCCCATCTTGATCTGTCATGTAGAATACAAGTTCTGAGAACGAACCCTTAATAACTGAAATCCTACTTTCAACATCAATGTAACTAACTACTGAGCCTAATAATGGTCTGTCAGTTGGAACTGTAACACTTGTTATAACATCGCTGGGTCTTCCCCAAGGGCTAACGTTAAAACTGTTACTTACCAGATTGCAGTGTATATTTACGTATCGTAGACCATTATTGAAGTCAACTTTGCTATCACTTGTCAAACTCCTCCCTTTTAGTAGGATCATAGGATTATAGAATCTACAAAAACCTAACATGGTCAGTAATCGTGTTTCTATTGTGATATCTTGTTTTACTGCTTCTATTTGGCATCCTGCAGTTTCAGCAAAGTAGGTTAGCTTAACACCGTGTCTTTCAAGTAACTTCTTCATACTGTCAAATGTGTAGTAACCTTTACTAACAATTACATCAGATTCTCCATCATCTGTTTTCACTTTGAGAATAGTTGTTGGTTCCCTTATGTTGAAGTACTCCCAGAAAACTGATACTCTCTTCACAAAGACTGATTTATAGTTGCTTGTTAGAACTGAGTTCTGTAGTGATACAACTGTGTGCGAGCTCTGGAGTAAAATTGTGAACTTCATCTTAATAACATACGTTAGGTTATTAAGAATGAGACTAGGTGGGGGACAAGTTGATAAGTCGCCGTATCGGTCGTACCAAGACTATGAAAAAAAGTATGGAAAGGAAGACGATGAAAATCATGTTGATCCTGTTGCTGGTAAAAATGCAGAGAATGCTGAGAGGGCTAGATTTATTAAAAAGTACCCTTACGCTGACATGAATAGGTTTAAATTTGAAGCAAAGGCTACTAGTAGTGGTGATATTGGTGTTGTTACATGGTTTGTTGATTTAGATGGTATATCTTCATATGACATTAGATATGACGGTTTTAAGAAGGATAAGGAGTTTACATCTTATCTCACTAGCACTAAGGAAATTATTACTCCAGTACAATTCAAAACTATGACTGACATGGATCAACCTCCACTAGAAGTAATAACAACCAAGTGGCCTTCAATGTGGTCCAGTGGTGGTATAATTCAGAAGATAAGTTTTACTGAGGGTGATCCTGTTATTGGAAAGTATCCTCCTATTACAAAAACTAATCCTATCTCCAACTTTAAGGTTTATGTTAGTAACAGTGAGTTTTTCTATAGTAACCTTCCTAAGATTAGTGATTTTATTAGTATTGATAATGTTACACCAAAGTTTAATAAAGAGTTGTCGTATTATGCTGCAATATGTGGAACTTATGTAGCTACGTATCTATGTGGAGTCTCTACTTATCATACAAGTCCTCATAGTAATGTAAATCCTATTATCACATCTATTATGAACTTTCACGTGTACTTATGGATTAGAAGGTTTATTAAAAATCCTAGTTTACTTCAGCAGTATTCTGATAGGTTAAAGGTAATATCTGGTAATATTCCTGTTAAGGGTCAGTGGAAGGTTGATAAGTTTAGTGATAGTCGAGCATCTATTGGAATCGTGTACAGGAAGTTTAGAAATGAGCATAGAACTGTTAGAAATGTTAGGTATGTTAAAATACATCTGGAATGATAGTCGGGATTAGTTATGATGAGCTTACAGGTATGTCTTCCCTTGCTAGTCTAAATGATTATATGAGGCATTACGCAAACAAAAGCGTGGGTCTTGTTGATACCTCACTTCTACAGGAAAGTTTGCAAAGTTATGTATACTGTGTCCTCGGAGCTCAAGCTAATACTCGGTGGGCTATAGTAAACCGTGGAACCTCCTCCCTACTGTCTCAGAAAGGATTCCGTAAACTTGTAGAAGATGTTGTAGTTCAAACTGATATTTCAGTTGGAATCGCTAATATGAGAACAGCAATTAGAGATACTAACGCAATAGTAAATACAGCAATAAATCCTGACATTATTTTATTTCCGTCAAATCTGGTAATATTAAAGGATCCTATTCCCGGTTATAATAATATTCTACTTGAACCTAACTCTAGTGTTAAGTTTGGTGTAAATACTAAAGTAAATTATGTAGGTGTTAAGAAAGCTGATCCTCCAAAGAAGCAACATCAAAATAGCACACCAGTTCACCACCTTGATACTCTTAGTGGATATGTAAAACAACAGACTACACCAAGAGCAAACAACTACTTTCGTAAAACTATGGTTAACAGTAATAAGTCTTCGGAAGTTAGCGCTATTGCTGGAGTTGGGATTGGTGCTACAGTTGTATTTATTTTAATGAGAATGTTTTTGTAAACATTGTGTATGTTATAAAAATGGCTCTCTATAAGGGATATATTAAGGGTGTAAATAATATTGATCCAACAACTGGTAGTGTGTTTGATAAGGACGGATTTACCATGAAGGGTGACATTGAGATGGATGGTAATGAGGTGAAGGGTTTAGGTGCACCAACGGATGATACGTCTGCAGTCACAAAAAAGTGGGTAGATGATGAGATAGTCAAACAGGCTTCTGTTACAATTAAACCAGCAGGGTTTACAATGACTGGGAATATCAACATGGGAAATAATAAGATAACTAATCTTAAGTCCAATGGTGGTGACTTCAGTGAGGCGGCTAATGTGCAGTATGTGCACACGTATGCATGGAACAACTATCTTGCCACAAATGGCTTCAATAATATGAAAGGTGTACTGAATGCTGGTGGATTTGAAGTACAGGGGCTTACCACAACTGCAAGTAGAAGTGATAGTGCAGTGTCGCGTTTCTATTTATATCAGTGGTCAAATAGTAAGTTCCTACCACTGGACGGTTCGAGCTCTATGTCAGGTAATATTAGCATGGCCTCCAATGAAATAGTAACACTAGGTGATCCTACAACTGGCAAGTCTGCAGTTCATAAGGACTGGGTAATTAGCATGTTAAATAAGCCTGTAACTGGACTTGATATTGCTGGTGATATTAATATGAAGGACCATGAGATTAGGAACCTAGCTAATCCTACAGACAACAAGTCTGCTGTTAGCAAGGGATGGTTTAATTCAAACACCAACAACTTCCTTAAGCTATCTGGTGGTAACAATCAGTTTATCCGCGGTGATGTTCTTTTTGATGAAGTTCCGCATACAAGTAAGGATGCCTCCACTTCAAGTGGTCTTATAAGGAAAGCTCTTCTGGATAAAAGTCTGGCCTATTACGTTCATCGTAACGGTTTGAATGCAATGACAGGTGATCTTAGGATGGGTGGACATGAAATAGTAAATCTTAAGGATCCAACTACTGACCAGTCTGCTGTTACAAAAAAGTGGGCCACTGATAATAATTTTGTTAATCTCGGAGGTCGTATGTTGGCTGACATATCAATGGCTGGATACAGACTTTTCGGACTACCTGACCCTAGGATTGATAATGAAGCTGTTTCAAAAAAGTGGGTAGAAAATAAGATATCTGCGCTTGATTCAATATATGCTAAATCTTCAGGTTTTACAATGACAGGTGCTCTTAAGATGGGTGGAAATGAAATTGAAAATATAGGTGACCCTAGTTCAAGTACATCCGCTGTTAGCAAAGGGTGGGTTACATCAGGATTCACTTTAAATGGTGATCTAACCGTTGCAAATGGTAATTCAATCTATACAATCAACACCCTTGGTGCAAAAATAGCTATTCCCAATGTTCAAACTGTGATTAACCAAATTTCACGCTTTGCCTTGAAATTGGACGGTTCAAATGAAATGACAGGTGCTCTCAGGATGGGTGGAAATGAAATTGAAAATATTGGAGCTCCTAGTGCTG